TATAATTTAGATAAACAGCTCCAAAAAAAGTTCCTCTAATATTATAGTATAAGCATATAACAATCTTTAGCTGGCAAGATGACAATAGGCCCAGTGCCATTTATAAATTTCAAATCATGCAGGGAGAGTACCCGGTGGCTCAGAACTTTTAAAAAGCAAAATCACAAATGGCACCTATTGACAAACCTGGCAAAAGTCACAGCTGCTGATGACCCCTGGTACCTCCAACTGCGACAAGAGGCCCCTTCTCACTCACCTAGCAGTCACGTTTATTTAGAATAACTAGGCCCCCTGCAACAACCCCTGAGGTGGAGAAAACTAGCAAATGGAGATATAATTCCACAGGCAGGCAGAAGGTGACCTGAGAGCAGAATGCACCAGCTAAGGAATTATGCTATAGTTCCACTAAAGAAGAGCCTTCCTGTAAGAAGGAATCCTAAGTGCCTGAGGAACACAGACTTGGGAGATGCCCAAAAGCTAAACCTTCTTTTGGCCAAAGAATATATACTGAGAACTCTCCTGCCAATCAACATTAAGTATTTTTAATAACTGAATATTTCTACCTAATAACTTTAGATAATCAAAGTGCTTGAGAATGGAAATGCCCAGCTTTCCTATAAAGCACACTGCCAAGATTTGGAGGAAGAGATTTAAGCCAAGTGTAGCAACACCAGCTTCCAGGACATTCAAAAACATGTGTGCACAACATGCAGGTATAATAACCAGATCTTCTGCACTTCAAGTGCCCACCATAAGAGATGCATGAGAAATCCCAATATAGTGCAACGCATATTTTAAGAGCTAATGATTTTTTGACCAGACTGAAACAAAATTGTCACCAACTGTATACTCACATCACTGTTCAAGCTTTCCCCCTCCCATTCCAACACTTAAAAATATATATATATATTTTATATATATAAATATATCTTATATTTTATAAGATATCTTAAATATATTATATATATATATTTATATATATGTGTGTATATATATATATATATATATATATCTCAACTCCCAAGTTGCTAGAGGCCTGAACACCAAACCTGGAAAAGGAAAACAAAGGACCATCTTAAGTGCCTTGTTTCTGTTGATGACATGTGGTTATACTTATGATGGCAATGCTATCTGAAAAGCCACCATTTTAAGAAAAATTAAATTTACTGGCCATCTAATATGTGACTAGTACATTCACATAATTCATTTCATTTCAGCCTCTCAAAAACCCTGTGGCATAAATATTAATACTCAATGTTTATTTAAGAAAAAACCGAAGTTCAGAAAAGTTTGAATCCTGTTAGTAACAGGATTCAAACCTAGGGCCATCCTTTTATCTTTCTTAACATTTCTGTCAGAGGTGTTATTAATAATAACTACAACCAAAAATGTAGGCTAAACTACTAAGCCCACCACTTCAAGACACCGTATTTCCCCCAGGGATATAATATTATCTTTGCCCACAGGGAACTGACAGTCTAGTTGGAGAAAGAAGCCACTGTTTCTGATAAGTTTTTAATGTAAGAGGCAACAAAAGGTACTGGAAAGGACAAAAGCTTAGACACCTTTACTTGTGAATTTCAGCACTTACTAGCTGTGAACTTTGGGTAAGATACTTCAGTTTCCTTACCTGTAAGGTTATGATAAAAATCTACTACCTCTCAGGGCTCCTGTGAAGCTTAATGAGACAACATATGAAAATAGGTAAGGGGCCTAATATTTGTTCAATCTTTCCTTATGAAGTGGCACAAGCTAAGGGACAATGACTGGAAATATCAATAAATGCTACAGCAAAGATCAAGCAATTTGATCTGCTACCAAAAAATTCAAAAACAAAAATTCCATCTCTTACACTTAAAAACTGATCTGTGGAGACAGCAGAGTTACTAGCCAATGAGGGGTATCACTTATAACAGCAGCAGAGCTAAACATAGAGAGAGTTTACATGTGAAGTACAAATTTAAACAATGATAAACAGGTGCAAAATCCTGTTAAAAAATTTTTTCCGGTGAGGGGAGAGCTGTCTTCTTTTCATGTAAAACTGCCAATTTAAAAGGAAAACTACCAGTTAGAGCAAAATTTGATGGCAACTAAATGTAACACTGGATTGAATCATGGAAAAATATTCTGAATAAGTCTGTAGTTAATAGTCATGTACCTACAATAATTTCCTAGTTTTGATATATGTACTATTTTTCAATAAATCTTAAAGTATTCCAAGATAAAAAGCTTATTCTGTTAAAAGGTGGATGACCAGAGAAAGGAATAACAACATACACAGGTATTGCCATTTGATTTTGAATATCCTGAAAACAGTTAGCCATTAACAGCAAAGAACGCGACATCAGTTAATGCGTTACCACCCCTGTGAGTTACGCTAAAGCACAACAACAAGGAACACCTGGAGTTTAATACTATTAACTTTTAAAGAGAAGTGACTTGTCCCCTTTTCTCTAGCATATTCTTGCAATACTGACTTTTTGGTCACTGAATTTTGTTGTTGTAACAAAATCAGCAAACTTCTAACAGTTACCTCTACTTTCTGTTCTTGACTAAGACATTTATTCAATCAGAACATAAGAAGCATCTCTCACCACATATAAGGCATAACATGAATTTAAAAGTCTAATGACAAGTGACATTTTTGAGCTTATTTCTAAAGGGAGACACAAGTGTCCCATCTGTTTTCATAATAATACACAGTCAAAATTTCTTTATTATACAAAACTCAAAGAAAGTTAATAAAGTGATGTAAAACCTACTGGGGCATTTTTATGCTCAGAGTCAAATGATGGCAATTACTGACAATTTTTTAAAGTACATCTACATTTACTGAGTCACATTAAGTGGTTATGAACTTTATTAGCTGTGTGTTCAGCAAGATGGCTGAAGCTTTCACACTCTGGGGTCTGCAAGAAAAGAGTTTACTTGCATACCAGAAGGCAAGTGTATGCTACAAACTGGTGTCAGAGGTTTAAGGTAGCACCAATTTCAATGTGTACACATACACACACACAACGTTACTGCTTAACTCTGGTGAGAGACATTCCCTGAACCTGTTTTAACATACGTGTAGAATTTAGAGGGCAATTTTCAAATTTCAAAGAAACCTTAATAATCTTTCCAGATTTCAAAGAAGGAAAAAAAATAAACACAGCAATGCAGCAAAGTCATTTCTCCTGCTGAAATGACCTCCAGCTTCTACAAGCTACTCCCGGTTTCGCAATAAATGAATCTGAGACTCAGACCACGTACACTCAAACGGAGAAGCTAAGAACACTAAAGCTTCCCCAACAGTCCTGGCAAAACCCACCTGCCTTTCCTCAGCCCTCTCAGTTCCCCTTCCCGTCTGCACCCACAGAGTTACCTGGACTTCGACCAGGAGAAGAGAACAGGGATTAATCAACAGCAAAAATCCTATTTTACCATCATTTACAGCCACTATCCCGGGGAGCCAGAGTGCTACTAACCTGATTTCAGGGAGGCAGAACTATACGCAGCAGAGTACAGGGGGATAAATTATACGTATCTGAAATGCCAACCCAGCAGCCCAAGACAGCTCAAATGTCAATTTAACGAAAAGGGTTTCGCAAATAGTATCTCAAATGAACATTTCCACTTTCAAACCACCCACCAACCTCTCGACTGCCAGTACCCCAATTCGGTACTGCTAAAGCAACCCGGGAGATAAGAAGCGTGTCTTACCTTGTACAAATCTGGACATTTTAGGGATTTATTAAAGTACTCTGGCGTTTATATAGATATATTTAAATTTCTAGAGAAGTCACGCTATAAGGCAGGTCTCTCTTCCACCCCTGCTTTAATAACCGACGAGTTCTTTCTCCTCTTCCTAGGTTTGGCCACTTAAGGGAGTATTTATGCAAAGCGACTGAAACTGCCTCAAAGAAAAAAAAAAAATACACCCAGGAAAACCTCCTCCACTGCCAAAAGACAGAAACTTGGTGAGACTGAGTCGGCTTGAAACTCCAGCCTACACGGCACCCCTGACACAAATGAGGGCCAGCTGGAAACTCCCGGAAAAGGTAAAATCACACGAACTTAAATTTCATCAATGAAAGAGGCGGACCTACAGCGGCTACTCCACCACCCCCGGATCCCCACGCCCTCCGGGGCTGGACGGCAGCAGGCACTGGCTGGCCGCACCCCCAGCTCCCCCTCCCCTTGCGGCCGTCCAGCCTCCGGCCGGTTCCCCGGGAAACCCCGGTCACTAGCGGCCCCCGCCCAAGCAGGGGTCGGGAGGCGGAGGAAGCCGGCAAAGGGGGACGTTGCAACCATTTCTACCAGCCCATAAATATCCCGGGACTAGGAGGCGCTAAGAATTTGGCGCGCGAGCCGGCCAAGGGCCTCCAGCCCTGCGCCTCCCCGCGGCAAGCAACCCTGCCGCCGCTCCTTCTCGCGAGGGGCCGAAGCCTCCGGCGCCCCTCCCCCGCAGCGGACACCAGGGCGCCTCTCCGAGGGGAGAACCCGTATGCCGCCCCGAGTCCCATGGCTGGGAAACCCGGAGGGCCCTTCCCTCCCCTCACAAATTCTAGTCCCTTCTGCTCTGCGCTCTTTCGAACCCCAAATTCGGCCTCCGGGACCACACTGCGGGTGAGGGAAAGGGGCTCTACACGCCTCGGAGAGGAAAACACACCCGCCCAAGGAGTGGTGGGAAGCCCTTCCCGGCCCCTCCCCAAACCGCCACGGAGACCCACCTTCCTCTTTCTCCTTTAGCAGCTGGGAAATTGGGGGCGTTTATGGCGCCCTGGGAAGAAGGCTCGCAAGCTGAGAGAATGTCACCTCTGAGGCGCCCTTCTCTCTCCCCCGCTCCCCTCACACATGCACACCTCGAAACCCCCGCTAGTGGCTGCAGTCCAGCTGCTGACCCCCTCCGTCCACCTGGCTGCGGGATCCCGACACCCAAAGCCCCCACTTTCTCCTAAACACCTCCCCTCCCCCTCCATTTGGAGCAGCCCCCCTCAATGCGGAAATGTCCCCGCGGCGCAGACAGACAGGCGCAGCCGCCAGTCAGGTGCCGAGGCGGATTCGGGGCCTGGCCAATGAGACGCGCAGAGGTGGCAGGGGCGGAGCGTCTGCGGCTCGAGGGAGCCCGGCGGAGGTGGGCGCTGAGCCCAGCCTTGGAATCCCGCGCGTAGGAGCCCCACCTCCGGCGTCTGGGCAAGGACTGTTTCACCAGTAAGACTCCCAAACTTCCACAGACAAGGGAGAGAACCTGAAGCACGAGTGCTTATTTTTTCAGTCCTTAAGAAGTGTTTCCGCTTACCAGAGACTGAAGTTATCTGTCTGGCGGGTGGAGCCAGAGCACGCCCACAGCAACTCCCCAGAGAGCGCCCCGGCCCTTCTCAGTAGACACAAAGTCTCTTAATACAGCTCGTCTCAGGAGGGTAAAGATGCGTTAAGGAGTAAAGCAGTGGGATGTCTGGGGCACACTAACAGGAGGGGGATTGAGGGCTTCGAAGAAAATGCCAGGTGAAAGCTCTCACACCCGAAGCACCACCCCGGCTCCTATTCCTGTAAAGATTTCCGCTGTGATAGGCGTTTACTTTTCTGTTTAAAGTGGAAGTGGCTTTAGTTACCCCTCAAGACATGCTTTAATAGATTTTTGAAGTCCTCATGGTAAGAGGACGTTAAAAGAACGTATTCGATGACGTGGGAACTGCAAGAGAGCCAGCCCAGCGCCCGCTAAATCACACCTGGTATGGCCAACCCCACCTAACCTGTAAGACCCAGTGCGCCTCGCCTGCCTGTGATTGGGTGTGTCTCAGACTTTACAATTCATGACTCAACCTACCTGCATCAGGACAAATAAATTGTCAGCGCTCTCTCTAGGTACCTCCCATAAACCAACTCATTCTCAAGTTTGAGACTATGGACAACACTAATCAACCAAGGTAAAGTGAGAATTTTTAAATAACTCATTCTCTAAACAAACTTTTTGTAGCGCTACATATTCGTATGGAAATATTGAAGTAACACAGAAAAGGCCAGTGATTCATTTGTCATATTGGAGAATGACAACCCTTGGTACTATATTTCATATGTGAAATCCAAAAAGATTACACCCCAAAACATCTCAGCTATAAAATGTTTCCCCAAATAAAACCAAAGAAGTGTCTAAAACCCAGATAACTATAGTAACTGCATTTGGAGACTGAAGATCTTAATCAGAATCTCCACATCCTTTGTGTACAGTGGAGAAGTTGTTCTAGCATTAAATAAGGAGTATTTATCCATCAGCATTAATACCAAATTAAAATACTACCGAAAGATTTGAACCCCACATGATTGCTTAACCTGCAAATGACAAAGTTGAAGAGCAATGAAGAGTCTTTAATTATATAAAGTTAATTGTAGAACGAATGATCAGTTATTTTCTGCCTGCACAGAAGACTGAGGTAGAGGAAGTGAGTTTTAATTGCAGCGAGAGCATTTGGTAATACCTAAGACTGACATCTTGATTTATGAGTGAGCAAATATTGAGATATAGTACCAAAGGATGGTGCAATTTGCTGCCTCTAGAAATCTCCAAAAAGCAACTACTGGTCTTTAGTGGTTAAGTCTATATCCATCCAGAGGTTGGCTCTTAGAGAAGTAGCACTGTAGAAGCTCTATTCCCAAATACAATTTCAAATAGTATGCTGTAAAATGAAATTTCTTCTTTATTTATTTTTTATTGAAGTACAGTCAGTTATAATGTGTCAATTTCTGGCATACAGCACAATATACCAGTCATGCATATATACATACATATACTTATTTTCATATTCTTTTTAATTAAAAGTTATTACAAGATATTGAATATAGTTCCCTGTGCTATGCAGAAGAAATTTGTTTTTTAATCTATTTTTATATATAGTGGCTAACATTTGTAAATCTTAAACTCCCAAATTTATCCCTTCTCATGCACTTTCCCTATAACTATAAAATTGTTTACAAGCCTGTTTCTGTTTTGTAGATGAGTTCATAATGTCCTTTTTTTTTTAATATTTCACATATGAGCAATACCATATGGTATTTTTCTTTCTCTTTCTGGCTTACCGCATTTAGAATGACAATCTCCAGATCCATCCATGTTGCTGCAAATGGCATTATTTTATTCTTTTTTATGGCTGAGTAGTATTCCATTGTATAAATATACCACAACTTCTTTATCCAGTCGTCTGTCAATGGACATTTAGGTTGCTTCCATGTCTTGACTATTGTAAATAGTGCTGCATATATCTTTTTGAATTAGAGTTCCCTCCAGATATATACCCAGAGGTGGGATTGCTGGATCATATGGTAGGTCTATTTTTAGTCTTTTGAAGAATCTCCATACTGTTTTCCATAATGGCTGCACCAAACTACATTCCCACCAGCAGTGTAGGTGGGTTTGGAATTTCTTTATACAGTGGTTTAAATTTAAATTCTGAACCCCCAGACATTTTGTAAAAAAGCCTCCCACTCTTTCAGAGCCTCTAGAAAGAATCTCACTTGGCAGATCACATGGAGTGAGGGGGAAAGATCATGGCTATGGAGAAGTTTCAAGTGTGCTTAGAAGGCTGTTGGCCTGTTTCTGAAGTATATTTATACATTTTAATATCTGAAAAATCATTTTCTGTGTCTTTGTTTAATCCTTTTCTGCATAGCTTACTCCTGTGGAATTTTCCTTCAAGATGCATTATGTTGATACCTGTGTCGCTAGAAATCTGTAACGTGGGTGGATAGATTTACAGATTAAACCTTTGCAGAGACTTGGGGGTGGGGAATCTAAAAGAGGATGAAGATGGGGGGCTGGGAAGGAGTGTGTGTACAGGAATGAGTTGGAATGAGATGGATTGTAAACTAAGAAGCCTGGAAGCCAATTTTACACTGGTACTTTATGCTACCAACCAAGGATGATATAAATTCTCCCTATAATTTTCTCATTCCTTTCTACTTCCCAGTAGAAACATGAGAAAATTTAATTTAGCCAGTTCTATGTCCTGGGATGTATAACACCCTTGCCATATCTTTTTCTTTTTCTTTAGGTAGGAACATTCTATCAACACAAGGAAACAATGACTGCTGCCCTATTTCTAAGCACCCTCTTTGGTGCCTTTTTAGATGTAATGCTTGGCAGTGTCTGGTACACAGCAAGCACTCAATAAGTATATACTGAATGACCTGTTTAGTGCCATTAAATCTTTTTAACTTGCAGGGTTGTATCCTGTTCTCTGCTCTTTGAGAGTAAATAAGATTAAATTTTCTATTTATATTTAGAAGTAAGAAATTTTTAAGTTTTAGTTATTTCCACCTAGAATGCGAACTTGGGCCAAAGTATAAGAGTAATAGCAGCAAATGCGACATCCTGATGACTTTACAGTAAGCTTTGCTAACTACCCATTATGAGTATTATCCAAAAAGAGGTGGTTAGAAATTGCTAAAGTATGAAATAAGTGTACAGATCAGCAATGTGTGTGGTCTTTTATTTCTTTTTTCTTGTCTATCCTACCTACTTTCCCCACACACAAGACAATAAAGCAATGCTGTTTTGGAGAACATGTCAGAGATGTAAAAATTTCTATGTCATGCCCAAAGTGTTTAGCCAAGAAACCAGGCAACAATTATACACTAAACTGTTGCCCACATTCAATATTGGCTCCCATCTGTATCCATCTAAATCCTAGGCCACCCACTGAAAGAGAGCAAAGAGGGTACTGTTTCCTAGTCAGAAGTTGCCAATTATTGGCTAGACCTAACAATAAGGCATTTTACTTGCATCAGAAGGTAACCAAACAGGGTTAACTGGAAAAATATATTAAATAATATCTGTGAAACAGACTCCAAATGAATAAGTAGTCTAAAAAAATGAATGGTGTTTCCAAATACTTGAGGAAGAGAAAGACCTCATTCTTTCCTGTTGCCAACACCCTGTTGTTAATGAATCAGGAAGTTTTCCGAAACAAGTTGTGAATTTAAATTATGACATATCCTTCTATTTGTTCATAGTATGATTTTTAAATTACATTTGAAGATTATACAACTTTTATATCACAACAGTAGCAATTATTTTAAATAAGATATTCTTAAAAACAGGGTTATCTCACATTACAGATAATTATCTACAGAGTTGATAAATCAATCTTCCAAGTAGTTCTAAAAGTCATCAGGCTCACAAGAATGCAGTTTAACCACAGCATGCATTATCTTGTTCGTGTTTATCAATAATTTCCCTCTGGGTTTTCCTTTGAAAGTTGCATGGAAGGCAGTTCTTTACTATGTTGTCTCCTGTTTCTCCTGTTCTGCATGTTGCTCAGAGGAGAGTGTTGATAAGAAATAGTGATGCACAAAGAATTGTTGTATTTCACTCATGTACCAAAGTACATCTGCAGATCCCCCCTTAATTATAAAGGGAGAGGAGTCATTTCCTTTAATGAGTAGCCCAGGAATAACCATAAAGAAACACTCTGTAGTTTCTCAGGGTGTCTAATAAACGTAGATTGTTATGTAATCAGAATTTGGAAATACAGAAAAAGAAAAAACCTCATTAAGAAATTACATTATCTCTTACTAAACTCATAAGATAGAATAAACATTATTCTGCTTTTCTAAGGTGATGTACACATAGATCATGAGGTTACTTATTCTTGTTGACTTTGAAATCCTCATAGGGAAGAGCTGTGACATAGAAAAGTATTCAATTTCATCCTATTTTTCCTTCTTCTTTCAAACATATTAGAGATTCCCTGTCATGCATTCCATTAAATGTCTTTTGATAGTTTTCCAAACATCTCTGCCTCTGGTCTAGCTTATTAAATTTCCTGCCTGTGCTACCACTGGGAAGGAAAGGATAAAGAACTTCTGTTCCCTAACTTAGTCTTAGGGAATTTAAGGATTTCACACCCACCACCCTAACTAAGTATTAAAGAGAAGAACCTCAGGACTATTCTTTGGATAAGGATTAAATATTGGGTAATTATGTCATTAAAATGGGTAATATATTTAGAGAAAAGACCACAGGAAAAAATGAGGCATTTTAATGTTAAGTTCTGGTACCATTTTGAGCTTTTAAAATTTTATTTCAATAAGGATGCATGCCTTAAAATAAAAAAGCTAACAAGTACCAAAATGCCCATAATGCATAGTAGTGCTCTCCCACTCTGACCCTCTTTACTCCAACCCTGCACCCCAGCAGCAACCAGTTTTCTTCTGACAGTTGCCTCAATTATATCTGATAGTTACTTCAAAATGCTTTTTTTTTTTTTACTATTTCTTTGCTTTCTGGATTTTAGGCATTTTATGTTTTGACTTCCTGTTATAATAGATGTACACTTTGCTCACTTACACCACCAGCCTTCTTTCCTCCATTGTATTAGCTTCCTAAACTTCGAGCTGTATTTCCCAGCTATTTCCTTATCATGACACAGAAAGAAGATAATATTTGTCTGGCATCCTGGGGGTAACCTGGGGGGAATTCATAGACATCTTTATTGGACGTGGTGAAAAATTGCTTTTTAAATATATATAAAATTATGAAAATAAAAATAAATGCAAAGTAATAAAGGAAATATTAAATATCAAATTTGTATAAAACTCTGAGATAAGGTCTTTTCACATTTTTGAATGAGAAATTTGAATTTGCCTGCATGAACATATCATTTTGATTCAGGTTATAGTCTTGAAATAGCTATACGTAGTTCCTGATCAAGACTTTCAACTGATAATCTCTTCAAATTCTTGATATCAAGCTGTATAATTGCCCCCCAAAATATCCAGTTTTTAATCCCTGGGACCTGTAAGTGTTACCCTGTATGGTAACAGAGACTTTAAGCATTTTCAAATGGAGAGATTACCCTGGTTTATTTGGGTAGGCCCTAAATGTAATCACAGGTGTCCTTATTAAATGTAGGCAGAGGGAGATTTGAAGACA